AGATGCATTATGACAGTTTTAAACAACAATTTTATTATTATCCTCAACTACAACATCATGCTGAACTTTTATGGGAATGTTGACAATTTTGGGCTATGTCCTTCTGATTAGGTTTGCCTACACGTGGTAACAACACTAACAACTACGTTGAACGAAGTTTCGGCATTATGAAGGACATTATTTTTGCAAGAACACGGGCCTATAACCCTGTTCAAGTATTCCAATTCATAACAACTAATATGGAGAGATTTTATGAGAGGAGATTACTTGCAATTGCACACAGACATCCAGGAACTTTGTGCATTGCCAAACGGTTTTTATTTCCTGGATGGAATACAGTAAATGCAGATGCAATTCAACCAACTAATATAACAAATGAATACTTAGTACCGAGTACAAAGGAAAATAGTAATCTAATTTACATTGTAAACAGTAAAATTGGTTCTTGTACATGTTATGTTGGAATGTCGGGTGCTCCTTGCAAGCACCAGGGTGCGGTTTCAATGAAGTATCATATTTCAATGTTTAATTTTGTTCCTTCGTTGACATTGAATGACCGTAAAATGTATGCTTATATAGCCTTTGGTAAGTATATATATTTAAATTATAATTGATATTTTTCAGTTTATTTACAATAAAAAATCATGCTTCTTCAGGTTATGTTGCCAAAGATGATTCTTTTTATGCGTCTTTACATACCGATACACAATCTGTTTTACAAAATCAAGAAATTTTATGTATGGAGATGGAGACACAAAGCAATATGATTACTAATTGGGCGTATGCAATTTTTTATTTATTTATGTATTAATTTTTTTTTTAAACATAACTTATACATTAATTGTGTAATCTATTTTTTAGAGAACCTGAAAATGCAAGTGAAGAAATTGAAGAAATAAGAGAAATTGATACGTCTGAGTTTATTACATTTTTGGAAGAAGTTAAATCTGACTATCAAAATGCAGATCAAACGCTACGAATTGCATTAGACAAATTTAAAGATCGTTATAATGCAGCCAAGTCAAAATCTATCTCCTGTTTAACTTCCTATCTTTATGATCTCCATAGAAGTTTAGATCCGATGGTTCGTATCAAGAGTGGTTCGCATATACGGGTTCAGGTGGAATCGATTAAACGTCGCAAAATGGAAAGAGGTAGCACAAGACAAAAATTGTCCACTTCCAAAAATAAAGAGAATTCAGATCCTCATACTATTCAGTTAGAAAGAAGAAAAAAACATGTAAAAAGGTGCATAATTTGAGTAAGAATGTGCAAAATAATCAACAAAACTGAAAAATTAGTTTAGCCCAAGTTAAATAGAATTTATTCATTAAATATTTTAAAACTTTAATGAAATTATGTTTTATTAAAAGTTTTTATTTG